TAGACGCGGCAGCTGCAGCCTGCAGGTGACTCTGAGGATCCCCATTAAGTATTATATTTTATTTATAAATAAATAGCTAAATAAAAAGATAAAATTAAAATCTTAAATATTACTTATAAGCCTTTTATAATAAGAACTAACTTAATTAAGTAAATAAATTACCTTTAGCTAAGTTTACTTATAATACTGCATAATATTTATTAATAAAACACTTTTTAAGTTAGCTCTTACTTAAATATAATCTAAAAGCTCTTAAATTTCTTTAAAGCTAAGTTAAATATATAAGCGCTTTTATAATTAAATAAGTCTAGTAAATATAGTATACTTATAAAAATGCTATAAAAATATTATAAAATAGTATTACTATATATAATAAATAGTATAATATAAAATAAACTTAAAAAACCTTTTTTATTAATAATTAAGTGCTTATTTTTACTAAGTACTTAAACCTATACTGCCTAATTTATAAGCTAGTATAAAAATATATAAGATTATATTAAATTAAGAAAATTATTAGTATTAATAAACTAGTATATTAATTATACTTACTATTATTACTTTATATTTATAATATTTTTAATATTACTAATTTTAAAAAATACTATAGTAAAAATAAATATTTATTTAAATTAATAGATTATTCTTTTATATTAAAGGAAATATATAAAGTTAAATGCATTTTTATATATAAGTATTAAAGTAAATAGCAGCTTTATTTAGTTAAATAAAATAACTACTTAAATAAGGATAATTAATAGTTAAAATATTTAGACTTTATAAATAATACTATAATTAAAGAATATAAAAATATAATTAAATAAAGCTAATATTACTAAATATTATAATAAGAATAGTATAATAAAAGTATATATTATTTAATTATATTTAAAAAAAAAAAGGAGATATACTTAAAAATACTAAAACTTTAATTTAAAAAACTATTAAACTCTAACTCCTTATTATTCTTTTTATTACCTTTTACCTCCTCCTCTACCTCCTCCTTTACCTCCTCTTTTTTTAACTTTTTCTCTAACTCCTCCTCCTCCTTTTTTATCTCCTCCTCCTCCTTTATTATATCTACCTTTAACTCTTTATTATTAAAAATTATAATATAGCTTATCTTTAATTCTTTATTAAAGCTAATAATAATAGGTTTTTACTTTTTATTTATTTTTATAAGAAATAGAATTTAAAATTATATTATAAATTAGTAATATTATTATATTATAATACTATATTTATATACTATGCTTTTTAATTAAAATAATACTATTAAAAGTAATAAGGTATAATACTTATAGCGCTTTTATTATATATAATGTATTTATATTAAAGGTAAATAAAGTTAAGACTTTTTTATAAATAAGCTATAGTATATATTTTAAATTACTTTTAATTATCTTTATTTATTATTAATATATAAATATTATATAGTTATTATAAAAAGCACTTACTATATTATTTATAATAATAGCTATATTTATAAAAATACTAGTATTAATTAAGGAATTTATAATAAGTATATATATTTTATAATAAATAATATAGTATATATAATAAACTATATAACTTACTTAGTATTAGTTTTTATTATAATATAATAAGTATATTATAATCTTACTAGCATTAATATAATAGCAGCCTTTAAAAGTATTACTATTTATTAAATTAAATATAAATATATAGTTATAGCACTTAATATAAGGAATATAGTTATTATAATTATTAATATCTTTTTATAATATACTGCTATTAAGAACTTATAGTAAACTATAAATAAGTATAAAAGGGGGGGATATTACCTTTTAGCAGTTATTATTATTATTACTATTATTATTAAGCATTTACTTACTTATTAGTATACTATACCTTATAATATAATAACTTAACACTTTATTATAATATCTTTATAATTAAATAGCATAGTATGCTTATATATAGTATATACTTTAAAAAAGATAGTATAAAAAAAAAAAAAAAAGAAAAAGAGGAAGAAAGGTATATAAAATCTTGCCTTTTATATATATACTATTATATAGCAGTATTTACTAATTTACTATATTAATATTATAACATAATAGTAATTTACTTACTATACTTTTACTTTATTAAGAAAGAATAACCTACTATACTATATTATACTAACTTTTTTATAAATATCCTACTAAATGCATTAAGATATTATAATAAAAAAAGGGCAACTGCTTATAAAAGAAAAGGAAGCTTAAAATAATATATTAAATTACTAACTAAAACTAGAAATAAAATATAAAATAGCTAAAAAAAGGAAATTAAATACTAAAGCTATTATAAGTATATATTTATAACCTTATAAAAATTATATAAAGAAATATAAAGGCGCTTTAAAGTTAAAAAGAAGTTATTATAAAAATTAATAACCTTTTACTAAATATTATTAAGTAATTATAGTAATTTAAACCTTAATTATATTTATTATAAAAGAAATATAAAAAAGCGCCTTTTAAAAGTAATAAAAAGATAAAAATACTCCTTTACCTTTTCCTTAAGTGTTTTTATAAAAGAATTAAAATTATTTTAAAAATAATATAAAAAGTTTTTATAAAAAAACTATATATATTTTTAATAAGGCATTTATAATACTTTAATATATATTTAAAAATGCAAGTTTAATATTTAAGCTAAGAGTAAAAGAAAAAGATAAGTCTTATTATATTTTAAGGATTAGCTAATAAAGCAGACTATAATATATATATAGCTTTATATATATATTTAGGTAATAAGATATAACTACCTTAACCTTAATTTTAAGTATAATAAAAATATTTTAAAAAAGCAGAAAAAGCCTCTTAATAAAAGATAAGAGGCTTATTTACTTTTTAATATACTAAACCCTAAAAGTAATACTTATATAACACTAGTCTGCTATAATATTAATATAACTTTATAATAAATATAAAGATATAATAAGTATACTATAATAAGGTTTTAAAAAGGTTTAAGGCTATATTATCTTTTAATATAACTACTTCTTCCTTTACTTTTTTATTATTTAATATATTATTAAAAGAGTTTTTTAAGGAGGTTAGTATAAGCTAAGGCGTTTTTTAAAGGCATTTTTATAAGTAATATATAAGAGAATTCTTAAATAGAATAATAGCTGCTAAGTAATAAGTTTATAAAGGCATTATAATAAAAAAGTATAAAAATAGTAAAAAAGTATTATAATTAAAAACTAACTAAGTAGAAAATAAGTATATATATTTAAAGATAGGCTATACTATAATAAGTCTTTAAGGTATATAAAGACTATTAAATAAGCCTAGGCCTTAACTAAATATAAAAAAATAAAAATAAATACTAAAAATAAATAAAAGGCAGAATATTTATATTAAAATAATATAGTAAAGGAAGGGTAATTTATTAAGATTATAATATATAGTTTTTATAAAAAGGCATAGTTTTTAAAAGGAGTTTATTATAAAGTTAGATTAAATATATATAAGGTTATAATAACCTTAGTATAAAGTGCTTATAACTTTATAGTATTATTATAGCTATAAAAGGAGTAAACTATCCCTTTATTTTAAGAAGGTTTAAAAATAAATACAGTTACTTATAAACACCTACCTTTAAAAGTAATTATATAATTAACTCTTAGACTACTTAGCAGTAATTAATAACTATATACTAACTTCCTATAACCTTAGTTATCCTCTCTCTCTTTACTTCCTTATATTACATGCTGGCTTTAATAATAAGAGAGGGGTACTAGGATCTTTATCTTAATAAGAAAAAGAAGTAAAAAGACTAGAGGGGATAACTATACTATTTATTAAATATTAACACTAAGCCTTTAAATAAGGATATGCTAGCCTTAATTATAAAGGAACTGAAAATAGATAAGTTTTTTATAATATTTTAAAAAGATAGTAGACCTTGCATTTTTATAATATAGCCTCTATGCTATTTAAATCCTTAACTTAAGATATAAATAATATACTACCTTTTAGTAAAAAGAGTTTATCCTAAGGTCCTTATAACTATACTCTAGCATGCTTAATAGCATTAGTAACTTAAAAATTAAGGTTAAGGGGATAGGTATAGTAGTTAAATACTGCACTAATAAAAACATATTAGTTACTATTACCTTTTTAAACATTCTCTTTACTTTAGCCTTAGGCCTTAACCTAGTCTTAATAGCCTAGCTGCTTAATTTAAAAGAGAAGATATTAATAGCCTAAGATAGCTAAATAATTAAAAAAAGTAATATTAAGTTTATAGCTAGGAGATTTAAAAACCTCTTTATCTTATAAATAGACTCACTCCCTACTTAAGCACTTATCTTATATATACTAGCATCTCTTATAAAGGGACTACTACTAACCTAAACCTAAGCACTTGCCTTATATATAGTTAATCCTTAAATATAACTATAGTATAAATAGATAGGTTATTTTAGTAGTAATAACCTTAATAGACTTAAGGAAATAGTAAATAGACTAAATATTATATAGAAATTCTGCTTATATAAAGCATATCTTTATAAATAAATATAAAAGAAGCCTTATAAAAGGCAGCTATATTATACTAAATATATAAGGGATATAGTTTATATTAATATTTATAGGCTATTTTATATTAATAGCTATAATAAAAAGAGATACTAGATTACTTTAGTAAATAGCTATAGCTGCTTTAGTAAAAGTAAGGTAATTAAGAATAAATAAAGAGTATTGCTGCGCGGGCTGTAATATATTGCTTAGGGGGCTGTAACTAGCCTAAATTGGCCTAGCTTTTGTCCGCGCCATGCCATGCCACACAATCACAGTGTAGGTCCGTGGCACTTCTAAAGGAGATACTATCAGCCTAGCCTAAAGACACTAAAATACCATTATTATTATCATTATCGTCATTATCATTGCCGTCGCCTATTATTATTGCCATCGCCTAAAGCCTCAGCTGCCATAGAGGCTGGAGATTATGAACCTAGCGATTAAGCTGCGCAGCAGGACTCCTTGCCACCGTCGCCACCGCTGCTGCAGGAAGCTAGCAGACAGATTCCTCCTTTACCGCTGCTGCAAGAATTTAACTCATTTAATAAGCTGTATAGCTTCCTCTAAGCGTTCTATCGCAACTACAGCGCTGCTCTTATTAAAAAGAACGCAGGAAATTATATAACAGTTAATGGCACTAGGTTTCCTATATACTATAACCTTGTCTGTAACTGCAGAACCTCACGACCGCCTTATGGCAATAGCATTAGGAAGACTGCTATAGCTAAGCTTAACTGCAACTTTAAGATCTTAGCCTCTGCCTTATAGAAGTCTGGCTAGAAGTAGACTTTTAAGGTCTGTAAAGGGCAGCATAACTATATTGGCACTATTAATGCATTAGCCTATGCCATTTATTGCTATTAAATAGTAATACAGTAAGAAGCTAAGAAAACGCTATCTCTGCAGCATGCCTTTAGCGCCTGAGAGATGGGAGATATTATACACGCGCCTGCTGGTAAGGCAGGCTTGTTTTTTTGCCTAAAGGATGTTTATAATAATCGTTAGTCTATCTGTTAGTTAAAGCTTAATGGCCTTACTCCCATATAGTAATAGATTAAGGTCTTGGAGAAAGAAGGCCTCTGCTATATTGTCTACTATTAAGATAATGATCCTTATAAGGTTAAGGCAGTGTTTTAGATGTACTTATACTGCGAGAAGTAATAGAAATGCTTTCTGGAGGTGCTTGGCATGGATAACACCTATAAGATAAATAGGTTTAAGATGTATCTTTTCTAAGTTATAGGCATGATAAATTAGAGTTCTGTTGTAAATTTTGCGTTTAGCCTTATAGATAGTAAAAAGCAGCTGACTTATAAGTGGCTTTATATCCAGCTTAACGTGTTCTAGCGTTAGCTTGAGATTCTAGCGCTGCAGGTTGTTATGACAGATAAGGAAATGGCCCTAAAAAACGCCCTTTAACGCACTTTCCTAGACATATAGCAGCAGCTATATCTCTATTACATTAATGCAAATGTTAACGCAAAGATAACCTTATGGTAGAAGGAGCCTAAAGACAGCAAGGCTGCCGCGGCTAGCAGCAGTAATGCGACTGTAAGCAGCCTGGCTGCTGACTCTAACGCTAATGAGCTCAGTAACCCTAGCCCTGCCGCAGCCACATAAGCAGCAGCACAGTTAGGCATTAGGCCTCTTTATAAGGATAGTAAGAAGGGCTTTAAATGCGCATAGCATATGGTCTTATATGTAAAGACAGAGGATAACTATGAGATAGCTTAGGCTGGGCTTGTTGCTTATTTTAGTGACCGTTAGCATAAAACTATTAACTATATTATTTCTAAGTATCTCCCTTATGCTAACTAATTTCTTAAATGCTGTATTAACTGCTATTGCAACTTTAGTTAGAGAACTAACAGTCTAATAGAAACTATGCATAAGGATATTAAATCCTTTTTGCTAACTAGGACTAGAGACCTCTTTTATCTTTATAAAGCTATTTGCTAAATGCTTTAGAAGAAGGAATGTAACTATAAGCAGACGGCGGCTAGCTAAGAGATAAGACTTTGCTGCAGATTTATTAGCCAGGCTTGGCTAGGCTGGCTTTTAATAGAGGTTACTTATAAAGCTATTAAGCTTCTTGCTTAAGAGTATTGCTGCGCTAAAGCTGCCCTAATGGATAAGAATGATAATCTAACGCCTTATAAGACAACCTGTAACTTTATGTAATAATTTACGCTGCCTTGCGTGCATTTTCTCTAAGATAAGGTTATTAATAGCAATAAGGTCTTAATAAAGGAGTTGATCTACCCTTAGTGGTAGTTAGATAAGCCCTTAGTATATTTCTTTATTATTTTATATAAGAAAGCTACTAATTAGTATACTAAGACCTTGCTAAACCTCTGCTTTAAATCCGCAACCCTAATATTATAGAGAAGCTGCAAGGCTGGCTGCGGTTGCCTTAAAATTATAAGCAGCCTGTTAATATCTCTCTCCAGCTAATTATAAGTCTAAGCCTGACGACAGCCTTAACGCAGCTGACTTTAATACAGCAGCTAACTTTATCGCTGCTAACTTTATTGCAGCCATTGCTGCCAACCTTAACTTAAGGCACCCAGCGCCTTAACTTAAGTCTTTATTAAATGCATACTATAGCTAAGATTAAGGCAGGGGCAGCCTAAGCTAGC